GGACCCAGTTTAGCCTGTCTGTTTAATAAATTACTAGATTCTGTTGCTTTATATGATGGCTGATTTTGAGGTAAATATGCTGTAATGTTTTCAGAACCCAAAGAATTTTGTTCTACCATCAATCCTCTATCAATATTTAACTCAATAAAGGATTCTTTGCTCTTTTTTTCCAATTTGCATTTTTCCATCATGCTATGTCCAAAAATATATTTACTTTTAAATTCATCAATATGTTTTTCAATTTCAGTACATCTCACAATGTCTAAATCAGGGCTTCTTTCCTGGATTCCTGCATCTTGTTGACTATTTGCATCTTTCTTCCCATGGTTCTCAGTACAAAGCAAAGTATCAGAATGCTGGTCTGTTTCTGAAATCTTGTCTTGAATGTCAAGTTCTCCTGGGCATTTGGAACTCATAACATCAATGTGTAGTTCTGACTCTTCAGGGAATTTATTCAATTTTAGAAAATCAGAAATGTCATTTTTATTGGGCAGAAGATACTTATCTTTACTACTTCTCAATTCATGAACAGATTCAAAACCAGTTACATCTGAGTAAACACCTACTTCTTTCACATTGTTAATAGGTTGTATATTATCAGGTCTCTTCTTTGTCAGAGTTACTTTCCTTTTGACAGATTTTGACTGCAGATTAAATGTTTCATAAGATTCTACAATATTATCACAAGCTGATTTAAAGCTCTCCTGAATATCTTTCTCTTTGGGGAGAGAAGACTGTAAAGCTATTGTGTTACCCAAACAAAAATCATTATTTTCATTAAAGTCTGTAGTATCTTCACTACACAACTCAATAAATAGATGTTCTTGCTTTAAAAATGCCTTTACTCCTTCTTCAAGGCAGGTTAGGAGAGCATTCCATCTGCGAAATTCTATTAAAGTTTTTGCAGGTTCCAAACATATATCATATTCATCATGCTGACACTTCACATTGATAATAAACACACCATGGAGTTCTGAGCCGGAACGATGGCGGACAGGACTTGAGAGCAAAGACCCAGTTTTTGTTTTACATATAACACTCTGTTTCCTCAATAGAAAATCAATAAGCTTATGCAATTTTGTTTTTAATATCAATCTATTATTTACATACAAAAACTGAATATTCTTATTGTAATGTCCTTCTGAACTGATAAAGCCCATTATTTCAAATCCTCCAGACCTATAGTTTATTTCCCGTAATTTCTGAGATTTACCTAGACCATAAATCTGAGAAAAACGTGTGCGCATATCTTTTGTTTTGGGTAGCTGAAGCATCATTGAACAGGAAGCTTCATTCCGTAAAGAAAAAGAGACAGATGGATGAACAAATGAAAGAGCTTCTACTTTATGCCTCAGTCTTTCAAATTCCAGTGTGAAATCCATGCACTTTCTCCTCACAGGTAACTGATGGTATAAATTGTATACAGTCACTGTTGTTCCAAGACTTGGCCTATTCAGTTCTGCTTCTGAGACTTCAAGACCTTTTCCATTGTGAAACAGTTTCAAGAAGGTTTTTGCTATCCTACTTGTCCTGGATGATATTTCCAATATACTGGCCATACTTGCAATACTTGCCAAAGCCTCTCCACGGAAGCCATAAAACTTCAGATTTTCTAAGTCTTCCAATGAATAACATTTACTAGTAAAGTATCTATTGCCTACTTTGTTGAGGTCTTCTCTTCCCAAACCACAGCCATTGTCCACCACCTGGACCTTAAAGGTTTCCAAATCCACTCTAATAGCAATACATGTAGCTTTTGCATCTATGCTATTAAGGATAAGCTCCTCAACACAATGTCCGACTGAGTTAATGGCCACTCCAGAGCGCAAACTGGTTTGTACTTCTTCAGGCAAGCATTTGATCATTGTGAGAAAAAAGATTGTTGAAGTCTCGATCTATTGGTTATGCATTGTCACCTGCCTTTTCTGTAAATGTCCTGTTAAAAAAACAGAGAATCCAATGACCTTTTAATTTTTTAGCCAGATATTTTATAAATCCCTTAATATTTTCCAGAGTGTTTCCCATGCTCATTTTGTATTTTATTTAACAAAATCCAGTTCAATTTAGATTTTTTTCTTTCATTTAAGTTCAACCTAGATATGTTTAGTTAAGACTACTTTTATTTAAAATTGCATGCAAGAACTATTAGCAGTGATGTTAACATTGCTCTCCCTGTGCTCGCCACGTAAAATGACTTTTTTCAGTCAAATCCTAATTCTCAGTTCCCATTAATAACTGATCAGCTGAGTAGTGGAGAAACTGGACAATTTATTTCTAAACTATAACATGGAAAATATTAGGAAAAATGACTATTATGAGCTAGCTTGCCATTCTTTGATTAACGCAATTGTCATTTTTGCTGTGATAACATATTACATTTACAAGTCAGTTGGTGCAATAGTTAACACTCTTACACTCATTAACAGCACTCATTTTTGGCTTCTATTTGTATTGACATTTAGCCTATCACACACTGAGCTAAGCGCTCTCACAGGACTATTGTGAAGATTAAAATGTGCTAAATCCCTTCCACAAACGCCAATAGATTGGAATCTTGGACGAGTGAAAAGTAAGATGTAAAATAGGTAAAAGGACTTTACAATGCACATTTCGATAATGCTGCACTGCTGAGACTAGTTGAGCAATGGACAATAATGAAATCGGAAGAAGTCCCACCTTTCTGCCAGATTTAAGGAGGAACTTTGGGCTTCAAGATAACTGACGACATGCGAGAAAGAGGAAGGAGGGTAGCGCCGTCCCCATCGAACAGTTTCTGGAGATCTGTCGTTATTTCCGTTTTCTTCCCACCGCCTCTCCGTTGAAGTAACTACAGGATCTACCTCCTTTTTTTCATCCCAGACGTAACCACAACAGCCCCGTTTTTCTTCCGTGTGTTTTTTCCCGCCGGGCCAAATCACCTCAGTGGGACCCGACCCAACTCTCATCTTCCGCCGCTTCAGTTAGCTTTATTGTCAATCACCTGAAATCAGGTCGGTGCTGAGGAAGAAATTGGGCCTTCTCAAATGCCTCCTGTGAGAACTTCAGTTCCCAGCGTACATCAAAATATTGCAATGCATTCTGGGAGTTGTGGTATTTTTGTGATCTTTATTTACAAGACGGATCGAAGTTTTCTGTTAGTTCCTCCAAATTACTGTATAATATAAATCCGAACTTGCTTCTGATTCGCACTAGGTCTCTTATAATCAACTATTCCTGAAGAATATTTCCGCAATTAAACAGCTGCAGAATTTAAAAATCTTGAGCAAGGGGACAAGTAGCACAGAAAAAGTTAGTGTTTAAACGTAGGTGGATGCATATTTTCGGCTTAAAGTTTGAGCTATAATAACCGTGCACATTGTAAATGTCCAATTAGACGATCCTTGAAGCACTGGAATTTTTAATGAAATTTTACTAGTATGATACACAGCACTCTTTCAAAGTTGTCCTTCAAGAGGTGAAATATAAATCATTACATTTAGGGAGGAGAAATAAAAATTATACATTCAAAAATATATCGCAGTCACATAAGATGAGTGCTAAAAAAGGGCCTAATTATTCTTAAAATGGTTGTTAATTTTTTCACATTATTTCTTATCAACAAAGATAAAATACAGAAAAACACCTTGTAGGAATACAGTATTTCAGGTTGCTGAGGAAGAGCTAAAAGGAATATTATTGCTGAAACATGATATAAGCAGCAGCTGGACAAGTTGAGAAGTTAGAAACACATTTAAAGCTGTGGCTGTGCAGCTCTGACTTGATGAACTCTTATATTCCAAGGCATATGTGCAATAGAGACAATATTTGAATATTAATTGGAAATGATGTAATTTAATAAATTTAATAAAACTGAGGGTTGTACTACATTTAGGTATTTATCTCACACTTATATCCAGCAGTGCAGATTAAATACTTTTGCTTGTCTTTTGTATGTATGTATGTATGTATGTATGTATGTATGTATGTATGTATATATGTATGTATGTATGTATTTTATTATTGGCTGTTCACCGCCCTGAGTCCTTCGGGAGAAGGGCAATATACAAATTAAATAAAAGTAAAAGTAAAAGTAAAGTAAAAGTAAGTCTGTAGAGATTCTGTGTCATACAGGTCATGGTTGCCGAAGTGGCGCAGTGGTTAGGGTGCAGTATTGCAGCTACTTCAGCTGACTGCTAGTTCAGTGGATCAGTGGCTCAAGGTTGACTTGGCCTTCCATCCTTCCGAGGTGGGTAAAATGAGGACCCAGATTGTTGGGGGTATTTAGTATTCTGTCTTTGGTGTAAGGCGCCCAGAGTCCTCGGAGAGTGGGCGGCATAGAAATATGAATAATAAAAATAAAATAAAAATAAAGGTGCTTTTTCAGGAGGCAACTGGACTTTATTTTTTCTTTTGAAGATGTTGCGCTTTTCATCCAAGAAGCTTCTTCAGCTCTGACAGGATTTATATTCCTTCCATTCCCCACTATCCTGTTAGAGCTGAAGAAGCTTCTTGGATGACGACGTTTAAAGACGGTCTTTTGTCTTCAAAAGAAAAAAACAAAAGTCCAGTTGCTTCCTAAAAAAGCACCTTTGGGACAATACTTTTGCTTGTGTATAGTGAAGTATCAGTTAAAAAGAATCAGACTTTAATTGGTCCATAGGAGTTGTATGAACACCATAGCCCTGAAACCCCCCCCCCCAAATATGGCTATTATGTTCCCATCTGTTTATTTCGATAGTTATACCATGGTTTGTAACTAGATTATATTGAAATGCAGAAAAATAAAAAAAATATATACTTTACATAGCACAGTGTAAGTCTTGATCAGAAAAAGTCATTTATACTTATTTAAAAGAGTTCCTTTTCTTAGTGTATAATTTACCTTCTATATCAAGTTATTTATGAAACTTCAAAAACTCTAAAACAAAAAATTAATAAGTTTGCAATGAAATTCTGTAATTTATATTCTATATACTTGCAATCTTTCAATATGTCATTTCATTTTTATACATAGCTCTGGATATGATGCAGCAAATGTGTCTTTATTAACAGTCAAAATATTGGGACATCACTCAATTCAGGAAATGTTTATCTTAAAATATTTAATAGAAGCTTCATATAATAAATAATTACAACAGAAAGAATGTATTTAACCAATTACGGTACAAGAAAATGAAAACTAAATGAATGACTTTCTTCTAGACAAGTCCATGGTTGACTTTATAAATCCAATGCTTTCTATTCCTAAGCCTTTTATTTGATTATACAAAAGTCACTATGCTCTAAATGAGCAATTTTCTTTTCATTGTGGAATTCAGCTCTGTCGATGTGAGATTTGGGGCTTCCAGTTTTCTGAAGCCATTCCTGAAGTTGTTGGACTTTGACAAGAGGTCCTTGGATTTGTCCTTGCACGGTGCCATAGTTAGTATTTTGGACCCAGCCAACTAGACCCAACTTTTTTCCTTGTGCCTAAAAATAATACACATGCAAATATTTTTTAAAAAATCACACATACAGAAATATGATTAATCTGAATTATATAAAAACCTTTAAAATTCCTCTGTAGAGAATTATTATAACCCCACTGAATTACTATATAATCCAAACTTCTGCTATGTCATTCAAAGATAAACCAACACTAATTGGAAATGTATTATTTGTTGTTAAAAAGAGCTAATATAAAAGACAATGGCATCTTACAATAATAAAGGCAAATACAGCTTACATGTGTCTATTCTTCTGACTTCAATAATATGACTTAACTCAGGTTAGGACTACAGGTAGTCCTCAATTTATAACCCATTCATTTAGCAATGTTGCAACTTAGAATGATATTGAAAAACATGATTTATGTCTAGTCCTTACAGTGTTGACCACTGCATGATCCCCATAGTCACGTGATCAAAATTTGTGTGCTTGGCAATCGGCATGTATTTGATTGTTGCAGCATCCTGGTGATCACCATTTATGATTTTCCCTGCCAGCTTCTGACAACCAAAATCAGTAGGGGAAGCCAGATTCAGTTAACAAGCACATGATTCATTTAACAACTGCAATGATTTACTTAATAACATTGGGGGAAAAAAAGGTTGTAAAATTGGGGTACAACTCATTTAACAACCACTTTGCTTAGTAACAGACATTCTGGTCCCAATTGTGGTCATAAATCAAGGACAACCTGTATCCAGCTGCCTAAGCAAAGCCTCCAAAGTTCTCACAATTATATGTATTTATTATATTTATATGCCACCCATTTCATTGTCAAGCAACTCTTGGTAGCTTACAACATAAAAACACAATATAAAATTATAATATTCAGCATTAAAAATTAAAACATAAAAATGAACAAAGAACTAGATAAAAATGGACTAATAGTAAACCAGATGGAAGTAGAACGTTCTAATTTACTAACCACCTCCAGAATGTTCACCAGTTTGAAACCAATTGCAGAAGAGAAATGGGTAAAAAGTGACCAAAAATTACCAATACTGTACAATCTATTACTTCGGGGGAATTACAGACTGAGCCCGCTCACCTGGGTATGTTTGCGGAAAAATACCCCTTGCACCTTCCCAAACACCTCATAGTCCACCGAAGCAAGGCCGCTTCCCTCAGCCATGGTCGGGGGTGCCTGTACTGAAAACAAAATAGCAATCAGGCAGAAAAAGAAAGGCAGGTGCCATATCCGCAGAGAGACCGTCCCTCGGGCAGCCTCCAAAGACTGCATTGTCGAAGCGATCCGCTCCCCGGTGCCTACGCAGGATAACTAAGTTAACCTGACTCTCGCTTCCCTCCCCTCCCCTCCGTCCTGCAGGGGAAGTTGGAGGGCAAGGCTCATCGCATCGCTCCGACAGGCCCCTCCCTTATTTCCATCCCGTTGGATATAGAAGACAGAAGCGCCTGAGACCTGCCGGGTCAGGTTTCGCTCGGGCAACACGAAGGTTTCTCTGCCAGCTTCGCAGATGGCTCGAGAGAGAGAGACCCTCCCCCTAGACCTGAGCGGGCGCGAGCGGCGCACCAACGGCCGCTAACGACGAACACACTTTGTCGAGACACGCTTCGATAGGGCGGAACCGAAGTGGGATTAATTAAACGACTAATAGTCGAGCGGCGCTGCGTTTTATGGCTAAACGGCGGGCAGGTTGGCCTATAACTAACAACACATAATTTCGAAAAGCCGGTAAGGTTCCTAAGGCGTCTCGCCCACCGGAAACCGCTGAGGTAGAATCGGATGTAGCGGGCGCGCGCTGCGGTTGCTATGCAACGGCACTCAACCGCCGCCCGAAGGTCTGGTGGCGCGGGCGCAGCGTTGCGTGCGCGGCGGTTGTGTGTCTGGAGCCGGCGGGCAGGCTACTTTGGTAGGTGCGTGAATTCAGGTCGTAGAAGCGACAATGCCTTCATCGGTATCCTCTTCCCTGAGTTTTGTCAAATTTCGAACTGCCGGTAGAGTGTAAAATCATTAATGGAGACGAGCGCTAGTTTAATGCTGTAATGCTTGTAGCGGCCGCCTTTGAGGGGAGGTGGGGGGGAGGCATTCCTTTCAGTCCTCTTTCCTTATAGAAGTGAACCCTAACAGCAAAAGCATTCACAAGCAATAACATTCCTTGGCTTATCCCGGCTGATATTGGAAAACAAGCGGTGTCGGGTTTGTAGAGGGGAGACAACCAGAAATCCACGGGCTGTAGTCTAGACCAGAAAGTTAAATATATATATATATATAGAGAAAAGGTGCCAAAGGTGCTTTTTTCAAGAGGCAGCTGGACTTTCTGGTTTTTCTTTGAAGAACCTAGAGAAAAGGAATGGCAAACCATTTAAAATTGTTATCAAGAAATACAGAAGAGCCAATGGATTGAAATTCAACTGGAAGGGTATTTTACCTACAGAGATATTCATTAGGAAAGAAAAGGGTCTAGAGTAGACGATTTAAAGTTATGAAAAGGTCATCTAAGTATGACTTAGCTTTCTTCGGATTCCTAGTGTAACCACATAAAGAGAAGTTATTTCTGCTTTACAGGCTAGTAAATAGTTTGATTGTTTTAGATATCTACAGATTTCCACCAGTTTAGGGTGGGTAAATTTTAATATGTACAACGTATTTATTGTAGAAGTAAGGAAATGCTATAATACAGGATGAAAAAGAGACAAGCAAAGGTTTTCTGACTTATGCTTATTCCATTCTCTTTCTGTCTTTGCTGTCTTAAAGCAATTTCTCTGTTGTGTTTATTGACTTTTAAGTTGGGAAAATGGGAAACATAATTCCTAAGGGAATACATTTTATAGACTGAGAAAAACATAGTACAAGTGTTCCAAATATATCTTGAGAAGAGCCTCTTTTGCAGATATTGATCTTTGGACATATTTGTAATAGAAAAGGCCAATATATATGTCAGATCCCACACACTGTTAGGACTTTGAAAACTTAATATCAACATGTATCAATTTAAATCACCTAAATAAACATCTGGAAGATAATGAAGATTTTTCAGTATACATATTGTTATTCCTTGAATTTTGCATTGATTACTTGTCTGGCTGCCTCCTTTTACACCAACTGCAATTTCTGGATATTTTTCAAGGTTAGGTCCATTTAACACATTACAGTAACCAAGATGAGATATACTCTAGTGAAGGTATGGACAATTGTTGCTAACTTATTAGAAAGAATTGCATCTGTGCAAATGTAATTCTCACAATCCAATGGCAGCCAATTAAACAGCACTCTCAGACTATGACTGAGGTGGAACCCGATCAAAACAGGCTAAACTTCAGTTCACAAATCTGACCCCAAAACCCATTCTTACCAGACAATCTGGAATGATACTTTTGTTTAGGATACACAACTATTGAAATCTAGCCAGTCTTCATACACGTTCATTTTTTTAGCCAATGTTTGCATCACATCCCTGCCAAATGAACTGAAATGCGTTATGTGAGTTTGTTATTGGTCTATAATTGCAAAAACATCCATAATCAATGGACTTTTTTGTAACCGAGACCTTACATCTGCTGCCTTTAGGCAACAAATAATATCCCATCTGCAAGGAAGCATTGCTTAAATATGAGACCAGTTGTGGTTGATTCAATAAACCAGGTAGGGCAAGGATCAAATAATCACGTGTTAGGCCTAGCTCTGTACAACCTGTTCACATTCTAGAGATCTACAAATTGAAATACAAAATCAGAGAAAAAATTGTCAGGATTATAATCTTATGATATACCCAGTATTTCAAGTTGAGATAGATCTGATTGTATGCAAAAAATTATGTGAAGTCTTCTACCCTCTACTGCAAAATCTTGGCAAAGAAGGTGTTGCAGAGTACAGAATATAAATGTTGACTTATTATTTGAAAATGCAGTGAAGGCAAATGGAGATTCTGCAGGGTGTGGTCATCAGTTCATTTTTACACGGTCATCAGTACACATTCCACGCTTAAGAAATAGATGGAACTTCAGTCACACCATTGTGACCACCATATTGATCTTTTTTTGACCCGTGGAGTCAGGAAAGTGAGTAACTTTGTTTCTTCCAGTGTTGTGCAGGTGACCTTTTACAGAACCTCAGTCTGATCTCAGTGTAAGGTATTTGTCTTCCAGTTCTTGTTTCTCCTATGAACTTCATTTTTCTCAGCTCCATAGTATCCCTAAGGGTCATTTGTCTCCTCAAGGGTTGGTCATCCTAACCACTAAAACTACTTCCATATTCTGCAATTTATCCAGTCTATCAGCAGAAAATTCCTCAAAGTACACTCAGGAAACTATTGGACTATAATCCTCAGTCATTTTAACTGGTCTTCTTTCCTGCTGGTTTATACTAACCATCAGTTTGAAATTGAGTAGGTAATGATCTCTTCATGATTTACATAACAGAAAGACTTCCCATTTTCAGATTAAGAGCCATGTTGGCGTAGTAGTCAGAATGCAGTATTGCAGGCTAATTCTGCTGACTGCCAGGGTTTAGTTCTCACTGGTTCAAGATTGACTCAGTGTTCCATCCTTCTGAGGTTGGTATAGTGAGGATCCAGATTGTTGGGGGAATATGCTGACTCTGTAAACTTCTTAGAGAGGGCTGTAAAGCACTGTGAGGACTTATATAAGTGCTATTACTATTAGCAGTCACTCAGAATAATATTACTAAATCCTGAGTGTAACCTTTTACATATGCAGGTCAGATGTAAATTGGAACAGACTCATAGTAATCAAGGGAGTTATTAAATCTTGAGGTGCTTTTTATTGAGCAGTTTCAGCACGGACATTGAAATCCCATGGATATGGAGATAAGGATATTCTAAGATTGCACAGAGGTCATCCACAGGAAGAGAAGCATCAGGGAAGATGGTACATTAATAGTATTATCTTCTCATTGTCCCAACCACGTAGGTGCAGCAGCAGGAATTCAGCACTGGTAGATCTGTGGAGATTCTCAGTCATCCAGGTCATAGTTGTCCCAAAGGTATTTTTTCAGAAGGCAACTGGAGTTTCTTTGTTTTTCTTTCAAGGAAAAATAAAAAAGTCCAGTTGCCTTTTGAAAAAGTACCTTTGGGTCAGCACTGGTAGACTAATGATACACACAGGGTTAGCATTGTGGGCAATCTAATAATTATCCAGAATAAGATAGGTATGGATGTGGTTGTTTTTTATGGTTTCCACATTCAGATATTGTGAGTTATATTAGAAGCAATGCAGTACTGCTAAAATACATTATTTCATTTGCACAGTTGTTTTTATTGATCATAGCTGAAATCCTACATTGATTTTGTTGGAGGTCAACATTCATTTAGATTACTTGCAGTCAGATCATATTTTCTCAATCATAATAAAGGAATAGAATTCTAGAATGAGAGCAGGAATTATAGCATGTATATAATTTGTTGCATTTCTTCAGATTTAGTGGAAATGCTGAATGGCTCAGTTGCAGCTGGCTGTGTGTTCGCATATGGATCCAATAGCATCCAATTCCAGTCTTCCTGCAACAAGCCAGGAAAGATGTCATCCTGAAGTTCTTAAAGAACAGTCCCAGTTAGAACATCTGAGAAATAATATTCAGCAACAACTTGTGTGCTGTAAAGATAAGAAATTGAAAGATCTTCATGTTCTCAAAGAGCGGAGCTCTTCGTGTACTCAGCCTGCAGAAAATAATCAGTTGGGCTTAGAGAAAGCAGGTTTTTATTCTGCTGGCCCCCATAACTGGTGTTTCAAGGGTCAGGCCAGCACTGTGCCTTCCCACTGGAGAATGAAGCGGAGAGAAGGTGTTGACAGAGCATATCCACTTAAGCCGGTTTTTCACCCAAAATCTGGGAATGGTCCCTTACCAAGTTCTTGGCAAGTTGGAAATGCACCAGCAACAGACATTCCTTCCTGTGGGATTAGTTCAGAGAAAACAAAAGTGTCACATGCGGTGAAGGCTCAGCCTGTAGGGGTGCAGTCTCCTTTTTCTGTACAACAATCTAATAGAACAACTTCTCATTCACAAAGAGCAGAGTCAGGCTATATTCAAAAACTGGAGGCTGCTGGACGAAGTTTGGAGGAGGAAATCCAGCGAAAGGAGGCTCTCCTTAGGGAGAAACTAAGGAAAACAGAAGAAGAGCTCCGTAAAATCCAATGGAAAAGACAGCAGACTAAAGTAGAAGCAAGAAGAGAGCAAGGAGGATTATGGATGCCTGAGAAAAAAATGATAGCTATTTCTCAAGATTATGATTCCAAATCTACCGCACAATGTGATAAAGATGATAAAAAACCGCTTGTTCCGGAGATTGTCATAGCTTCAATTGGGACTGCCCTGCTTCCACAAACACTTCATATGGAAAGGCTCAAAAAGCAACGATTGATAGCTAGCAACAATAAAATTAGAGATAACTTCTCCAATATTTCTTCCACTCACAGCCTAGAACCAGCATCTGTACACAAGCAGTCTTGTTCTCCAACAGGAACCCCAGTAGGCCATGCAGAATCAGTGGCAGCAGAACCATCATATATAGAGGTCCAGAATGATATAGAAGTTTGGGGAGAATGTAGTTTTTGCAGACGGAAACTTTACTGCTCCAGGTTGGAGAAACATATGAATATTTGCAGAAAAAATTATGGATCCAAGAGAAAAGTGTTTGATTCAAGCAAGGCTAGAGCAAAGGGTACTGAATTGGAGACATATCATCTCTTGAAGGGCTCATATATTTCACAGGTGATGTGCATACTAATTTATTAAATATATCCTGCTTCTGTGGTTTATATGGGGGTTCTTAATGCATTTTCTAACTCTTATGTTTAACAGCCTTAAGCTTGTTGAGCAGCACCTGGGTAAAATACTGTTCAGTCTTTTTCTTCTGACCTTTCTTTAAAACAGACCTCTTTCTTAATATCACTTGATGGTCCATAATTAGTTTTTAATTTTCATCATTTAAATGCAGTAATAAATATGATGACTGCTGAAAATGATGTTCGGAAGACACGAAAAACTAAGGCAAAATTTCCATTAATGTTACTAGAGCATTAGTCTATTAAGATACTAGAGCAAGTTTAACTTTTTTTTTAACCTTTATTATTAGTGAACTAGGAGGCAATGAGAATGTGAAAACAAATGGTTAAAATTGTTATATTAAAGAATCTGTAATGAATGCTCAAAAGTCACTGCAACAAGACAGAATGACAATTGGTTTTAGGGAAAACCACAAAATGAAGAAATAGTTTATATTTAGGATGATGAAGGAAAATAATGTAGTAGGATCAAAAGCTATCTTCTTCACACTATCTATCCAATTCATAACATTCTACTGCAGTAAGTTTCATTCACAATTCAATTATGGTATTGAGATACTTTAATAATGGCATAGATTAAGAATGTTATATTATCAGCTTGAAATGACATAAGGAAGAAGTGGAAATGACTTTTAAAAATTAATAAAGTTCATCCTTTACATACATTTTATAGTCCCAGTTATCTAATTTAAAAAATTCAAAATGTATGGCATTAGAAATAACCTACTCTTATATATGACAATATAAACTTCTATAAAGAGCTTTTATAGACAGCCCTGGTGCCACAATGGTTAAAGTGCAGTATCGCAGGCTAACTCTGCCCAAAACCTAGAGTTCAGGGTTGACTCAGCTTTCCATCCTTCGGGGTCGGAAAAAAGAGGACCCAGATTGTTGGGAGCAATATGTAAATAATACTTCTACATTGTAAAGTGCCCAGAGAGTGCTGTAAAGCACTATGGGGCTTTACATAGCCTAAATTGCTATACTATTGCTATATAAGCTTAAATGCTATTAATTGCCATAAAAAAAAATAGTTACGGGAATGATCACAGTACGAGCTAACAAAGTTGCGTTAATTATTTTAAATTATTTTTCCCATTCCCCTTCTTGCTGCAGAAAAAAACTTCCAGCCAAAGTCCTGAGACTCCCAAGCAAAGCAATTCTACATCTAAACAAAGCAATTGGAGACAGAAGCATGACTCTTTCATCAAGACTTTGCGCAGGGCTCGTGAAGTGCAGCGCATCATCTCCAAAGGGGGAAAGGCCTCAGATCTTCCCCCAGCACCAGCTATGGAAAATCCAGATTACAAATTGTGTCCATATTGTACTCGTCAGTTTGCACCTAAGGTTGCTGAGAGACATATTCCCAAGTGCAAGAACATTAAGAATAGACCTCCACCACCACATCAAAAAAAGCGTTGCTAGTAAATAGACAAGATGACATCTACAACTGGTGTAATCATACTTTGGTTTCTTGCAGTTTTTCTCAGTTTGATGCTATTGAGAAGCAGTTTCAGTGTAAAACCAATGAGAAATCCACTAATTTTAAATGATCATTAATCCCTTTATACTACAGGTCAAGGCACCTACTGGTAGACGGACAAAAAGTGGCTTTGTTTTTATCATCTTGAAATTTTGTATTCTGAAAAAATGGTTCCCTGAGATTCCTTGCATATTTTGCAGTGGAATTTTTGTCTGTTTCTTAGAACATAGAAGAAGGGCCCTGCAAAAAGGCCTATTAAAAATTGGAAGAAATATGAAGTTCTTATAAATCATGGCTATACTTGTGACTCTTTGATGGCATCCGAGATCAATTATTTTTTGTATGAGCTGCCAGAGATAAATGATTCCCATTTCTGTGCTGAGTACCATTACAAAAAGCACCCATATTCTAGAAAATTCGTATTTTAAATATTAGAATGATAGCTGGAGAAGAGTAAGAGCTATTTCATTGTATTACATACTGCTATTTATATTAGCTGGGAACAGCTTTACATTCAGTTTTGTTTCCTATTGCATAAGGTTAGTCTTCCTCACTTTAATCTATAAAAATTCCTGTTAAAAAGGGGGGGGGAGTTTGGATGGATTGTTCTTTATAGCATAATTGTACCTGATTTTCAACTCTATGCAACTTTAAGATCAGTGAAAGGAAACAGAGATAGTTATTTGGAAGTGGGTATTCATTTAGCTCTGCCTTTGCTAACACATAAATGATTAAAATATCTGGGAATAGGTCAACTAGAACAATCAGTAAACAAATGGAATAAACATATTTATAAGCAAATTAGCTGTCTTCAGGCAACAAACATGGTCTATAATAAAATATATAGAACTTAAGTTGCTTGCAAAAGCAAATGTATTTGCTGAAAGTGGAAACATATGGATGAATGCTTTGTTTGGAAAATACCAATTTTGCATAACACACTGTTAACAGAGTATAGTATAAGATTCCCCAAAATTGAATTGCTAGTTTTATCTGAGCCTCAAATTTTCAATGATCTGGTGCTAACTTAAAATTTCAAGGAAACTGGAAAGCTTCATTTTGAATAATAGAATGTTTAAAATTCAGTATTTATGTAATGTGAAAAATAATTGTTGCCCATGCTGCTAATTTTGTTGGAAGCTAAAGCATATGAAGATTTTTTGCAGGAATTGGGGTGTGTCTAGTTTGATGAAAAGAAGGAATAAAGGGTGACATGATAGTGGAGTTCCAGGATCTAAGGGGCTACCACAAAGAAGCAATGGAGTCAAGCATCTGAAGTAGAACAAGAAGCAATGGATGGAAAGTAATCAAGGAGAGAGCCACCTAGAACTTTCCTGACAGAACAATTAATCAATGGAACAACACCAGAGATTTTCAAGAGGATATTGGACAGCCAATGGTATAGGATTTCCTGCTTGAGCAGGGGGCTGAACTTGATCTCCAAGGTCCTTTCCAACTCTTATTCTGTTACGCTGTTTCACTAACAAAATGTCAAATGGATTTAAGCAGGAAACTTTGCTTTCACCAACTTCTTGTTCTTATTTTTCTATCCAGCTTCAGAAAGGAAACTTTAATAACTTTTGCACCATACTTAGATTTAAATTACTTCATAATGAAACAAAGCTCAGATTTCATCTCTTGAGTAATAGCCATTTATATTACTGGTATTTATCAAATCAGATTTTATTAGAGCTTGATGAGGTAAAATACAAGATGATCTTATTGTTGGATTCTGTGACTATATTTTACTTTTGGAGAAATTTGCACAAGGAACAATACGCAAAATTTGTCATTAATCCCGGTTTGCTATGACTGTGCTTGTATATGCAGTTCTTTAATATTTGAGATATAAAAAAATATTTTTATTTACATAAAATTTATGTAGCTGCCCATCTCACAACAGATTCTGGCTTGTGGCTCAAATTCAAATGGAATAATAAATTCAGTTTGTTTTACAAATCTTAAATTGTTTATACAAGCATGGGTATTATATTAGTATATCATGGTAAATTGAAGTTGTTTGTATTAATGGGAGGACCAATGATTGCTTTTTCATTATAGGTCAGAAGTGTTTATAGTTCTGTACTGTTGTCTTCACGTCTGTTGGAGAGAAGGCAGTAGTTAGCTTTATTTTCCTTGAACTATGTCCTTGTCTTTTAGAAAGCTATCCTATAGTTTCAATATGGATAAGTCTAATGTGTACAGTAAGAAAAAGATTTCTGCATGAAGACCTTTTTTGGATACAATTTCTGCATGAAGACCTTTTTTGGATACTCTAAGATTAAGCTGAATCTCAAAATGTCTTAAAGTGATACAGTATATTACCCCTGATTGCAATATTTGTCACATATTCTCTTTTATTTTATTTTTATTTATTAATCAAATTTATACGCCCCATCTCACTATCTAAATGTCTCGGGGCAGTTTACAAATAAAAAATATAACATCTATACAAAAATAGACAAAGTTAAAAAACAAAGTTAAGAAACTAAAAAGAGAGCCAGTTTAGTGGTTAAGACACCAGGCTAGAAGCCCAGAATTACATGCCAGCGTTGGATCCCCATGCTAATAGAGCCAGGTCTTATTCTAGAAAACTAAAAGGTGGGGGGGAGCCAACCTCATCTTAGGGGGTAAAATGTTCCATAGGCAGTGTCAGCCCTGGAGGCCATCTTTGGATCTTCACGGCTGTCACACTTAGTGCTATTGGGAAGGGGGATTGCATGGAGTTGTAGATATATCTAGCCATAGCAACATTCTTTCTCTGGGAATCAAGGACATTCTACCTACACCTGGAGTGGCGTGACTGAAGGCATCTCCATTTGGGATGGTGCATTGATTGGACCATGTGATGGATTTGTGGCTGCAGGGAAAGGAACTTCGACTTTCCTTTGGGTGGGAAAACCTGGAAGCTTTCAGATTTGGGTTTTCCCAGATGTGCCAATATGACATTTCCAATAAAATGGAACTTTGAGGAACTTCTAGCCTCAGAGTCAGGGGGAGGGGTTTACTTGGAACCCTGATAGGCAGATGTGATGGCAGAGGCGGCTTTCTTCCTTGAATCCACCCTAAAAAAAATTTTATCTCATAGGGTCTGCAGCATGCTTTTCCTATCTGTTCAGGATCAATAAATAGGCAATCTTTTCAAATGTATTTTTTTAATAAAATGGCAGAGATTGGTGATATAAAAGTTACTAGAAGTGGTGCTTCATAATTCTAGTGTTGTTGAATGAACTCGAACTATATTGAGAGATTTCTCCTCTTCCATATTAGATTTACTATCATGAATGTCATAAGAATGTGCAAACCTTCCCGAAGAAATTGTGTTCTTCCTGTCTAAATCAAACATGCAGATGCATTAACCTGTTCTGATTTTCTGTTGCATGCATTAACCTGTTCTGATTAACCTGTCCTATATTTTCCAGAAAGGTATATTTCAGCAGAGTTTGAATAGTGCTGGTGGTTCTACTTTCTAATTGTATTTATCTTCTTTGTATACCCAATACTCAGGAACCAAAAAGTGGTGTGTAATCCCCTTATCAATTATCTGATATGTAGCTGTTTTTCTTCAAGACACACTATTATATAAATGAAAGGTGGTCTTATCAGTATTCTTTGTTCAAGCCTGATTATGTATGATCCAATCAACACCAAATGAATATAAGTGATTGATGTGTGCTACTCATCATCTTGATCAGTGTTGTATAATTTATATTCTTGATATAAGCAGTCTTCCGTTAATAATGATCATATGGGACTGAAGTTTTCCATTACTAAGCAGTGTGGTTGTAGAGCATGGTATAATGCGACATCACATAGTAATGGCAATCCCATACTCTCTGTTGCTGTATAAGCAAGGATCATAGGTTATTAAGTAAGTCCCAGGTATTTGCCAGCAAGCTGGCAGGTAGGTAAGTGGCTGCTGCTGAGCAGAAGTTACGCAGGTGGCTGGCATAGGGCAGCAAGGCTCTGGGTGGTTGCTCCTGAGCAGAGGGGGGGGGTGTCTATTGCTGGGGTGTGGGACGTAATCTGCATGGTGAAGTATGAGCCCACCAGGGGCAGAGATAGCTGCTGCTGGATGGGGGAGAGTGCAAGTGATTTACTAGATGCCTTGTGACTTTCCTTGCCAGCTCCTCTATTGACTTTGCTTATGGGAAGCCAACGAAGGTCACAAATAACAATCAGATTAACATAGGGTTGCTGGGATAGCTGGAACTTGACCCATTGTAAATACCACTCAGTCCTGTCATAAATTCAAAGTCATTGTGGCATGAGTGGTTGTTAAGTGAGAACTATCTGTAACCATAATGACAAGCTAAAAGGACTAAAAGGTATAAACATAATATATACAGAAAAATGATTGGTTTTAAGTGTTGTAAGATTTTCATATCTTGCAGTAGAATTTCTAAAAAGTAAAGCAGCACCCATTTGAACATATTAAAAAAACAGCAGTAGGAGGAAGAAGATAAACATTGCCTGTGAAAATGTGGACAATGTCTGATCATGATAAATGTAGAATCAAGCAACCTTAAATGTGTTCTCCTTGAAATATCTTCAATTTCTATTAGAATTAATCAGGACAGAAACAATTGAGTGTCAAAATTTATTTAAACAGAAAACATCAAACCATTCCACTATTGCATTTTAGAAAAACAGATTACAACAAAATAGTTTTCATACGTTGAATTTCAATATAATAGATCAACAGCAATGCTAGTAAGTAACCGTCATTTAAGAACTAGCACTGCTAAAAAAGGGAGAAGGGAAATGGACTTCTAAAAGGCACTTTGACCTTTTCCCTTCATCCTTTAAGTGGGACAAAATCTCTGCTTTGGTTGCATAGCAGGGCTGGGGCATATATCAGGATCTGTAACAGGCACAACTTGGATGGTGTTATGTTTAAAGGCACACATGTATTGCTGAGGAATCACCACTCAGTACAGTGAGTTAGTACTCCAGAGCACTGAGACATAAAAACAGTGCTCTGCAAAATAGTGATTCTCATCTGCTCCATGATTTTTTTTTTTACTAGATGTAGCCCCAACATAATTGTTTTTTTTCTAAAAAGACAACCTCTGTTGATGAAACAGTATTTTCATTCGGGGTGAAAAAAACTTCAGTAATTTTTGGAGGGCAAGAAATCAGCCAAATGGCACAATGATCTATTAAATATTTTAACAGACCAAATTTTGGTTTAACCTTCTCCTTTTCTCAGTCTGGTAAAATTATAGAATACGTAAGAGATGTTGGAGATATATGAGAAGTTGAGATTAAAATCAAGGGTCTACCAAATAAAATAATGGGACACAAGCATACAAAAGAACTTTTTCTAAAGGTTATATTTAAGCTGCAATAAAACCCCATACTACTGTAAAGAGAAATGCAGAAATAGTTCTTAGAAATTATATCTATGCCAAAGGAGTAAGATAGTGAAGTAATCCAATTAACAAAAATATCAATTTCATTTTTAAATGTGAAAAATAAAGCAACATACCTTCAAAAAATTGTCATGCATAGTTTAGTAATAATACTAGAGAAGAAGTTCTGAAGTGATGTATGATAATTGATTGTGACCACTATAATTTGTGGTCAAAGTGACATACTTTGTTAAAAGCAATGTTTAAGTCCAGTTTCATTAAGTATTGAATGGAAGCAAAAATACTGATTTAGGGCAAAAAGAAGAGGTTTTTCATAGTTCTTATTGAATTCAGGCCAATAACTGAATAATATGAGTCAAGTCGTAAATGTGTCTGATTTCAAATTCCAATCACTCTTTGTCTGACATCAAAAGCAGTGCTTGTTGAGTTCTAGAGCTAGAGATTTAGAGTAGCTGAAAGAGTTCAGCCAGTTCTTTTACATTTGAACAATGCTTAACGGCATTGAAAAAAAGGGGTGCTTGATGTCTTTCTCCAACATCCCTAAAATATAAATAAGTTACCTGCAGACTCATGTATATATGTTTAGAAATGAATATAAATAGAAACTTGTTTTTTTCTGTTGGGATGTTTTCATCCACTTCTTTTTTTAATATTTCACCTTCAAACTTCATTCTTAGAAGCTAAGATGCTTCTCCTTTAACTTTATCAGCTAAAAGTAACTAAGAGCATTTAATTTTACTGTCAATGTAGATGTTTGCTGGCTTTCTCTTTTCAATCATTTTTCATCTTTGAATTGCTTGAAGATGAAGTGAATACTGTTGCAGTTTCAATGCTGTTCTTTGAAAGTTAGGAAGTAAATGAAGTGCTGCTGCTGGAACCATTCCTGGGAACAGTGTTACCCACTCAACAATACACTGAGAGAACTCACCATTGTCATACCTGCACAGACATTGGTTTGAATTTAAGTGTTCGCACTCTCTCTAAATTCCCTCCTAGTTTCATAGCTTAAGGCAGTGCTTCCTCTCTTGCATACATGGAGGCTATGGAGACTCTTGACTTCATTGTTAACGAAGGACCTGTATCTAGGAAAGCTGTTCTCTGCATGTAGTTAATGTTGTGTGAAAATGAATAGGTTCCAGGATATAAAGACTACAGGCTAAAGCGGCATGAGTCAGTTCCAAGGAGACACCAGGACTCAGAATCCAAGTCAGGCTTTGGATCTGATTCCATCTCTTCTTTGGATGTTTGTGTAGCTTTGGAATGAGATTCCAGCTGTTCAGATTAAAAAGAAAACATATTCACAATTGAAAAAAATCTACAGGCAGTACTACAATGAAATGTGTCCAACTGGATATTTTGTTTAACCACAATTGCTTTCTAATCTGTTATTCCACACATGTACTAAAAATAAAATGGTCATGGAAGGCCTAACAGCTGTTTGCTCAGATTGTCAAAGAAATATACTGCTCAAAAAAATAAAGGGAACACAAGCAGAAGACATCCGAGATCTGAATGAATGAAATAGCCTTATTAAATACTTCGTTCTTTACATACAGTAGTTTATACACTGCTCAAACAACTAAAGGGAACACAAAACTACTGTATGTAATGAACAAAGTATTTAATAAGGCTATTTCATTCATTCAGATCTCAGATGTCTTCTGCTTGTGTTCCCTTTATTTTTTTGAGCAGTGTATAAACTTCCCATAAAACTACTCAGCTGGAACTTATTTATGAACTAGTTTATCTCTTAACGTTGGCTACAGTATTTATTCTTTAAGGGTTTGAAAAGGAATAGAAAGTGGGGAAAAAGCCAGTGTGTTTTCTTAAGGTATCATCTTATCAGCATCCTGGTTATTTCACCAGGGAAATATAAATGAACATGATATAAAGTTAGTTCCACTTGCTTCCAATTAGGCTGAATAAGCACCGAAGACTTGTTTAAAATAACCAGGACCATTTGGGGAAGAGCTGGTTCAGAAGATTACTTGCAAACTCTCTGTAACAAATATGCCAGGCGCTTATCAGATAAATTAACTCAGATTTGTTCCAAGTTGAACTCCAACTTTGAAGTAGATCCCATGAAGGTTAATGCAGTTTAATTTGTGGTTATCTGGGTGGAATTTGATCCTGTTAGTCCTGATGAGTTAGGGTTCTAAGAAAGTTCTAGGGGCTACAAGCTTGTCCCTATTGATTGGCTAAGGCTTCCCAGGGGGTGGTTTTACTATCCTTTAAAGCAGTGTTCTCCAACCGTGGCAACTTTAAAACATGTGGACTTCAACTCCCAGAGTTCCTCAGCCAGCAAAGCTGTCTGAGGAATTCTGGGAGTTGAAGTCCACAAGTCTTAAAGTTGCCAAGGTTGGAGACCCCTGTTTAAAGAAGCCATCCTAAAGACAATAGTGCTGAACAATTTTTGTACTACCACAAACAGAACCAGTGTGCAATTTGGAGGGCCTTCTGGATTCCCAAATCTTGTTTGAGGAATAAGCCACCATGGCCAAGAGCAGTTTTGCACAACTTTGTGTTGTGCACCAATCTGTTCCTAGTCATGCACACCTTAATCACCTCCTGAATTGGGGTAGTGCAATGTGCTTTACATGAGGCTGTCCTTGAAGCACATTCAGAAGCTGCAGTTAATTAGGGTGACTGAGGCCCCATCAGATTTGCTTGGAGGTGTAGGTATTGTTGACTCTAGAATGTAATTGTTAGCTTTTCCCAGTAAAAAAATTACCTGGTGTGTTCCTTGTCTCCTAGAGAGAACTTGCAGCTGGGCATTAAGACGGGCAGTTTCTTGTTGTAATTTTTCTTGATCTGCCAAGCACTTTGATATTAAACCACTCAGACGTTCCACTTCAGCCTGCAGAAAACTGCATTTACATTCAGATGATGCCACAGGCAATTTCCCTCTATCACAGGATTCTGTTGAATCCAAGACTAGCTGCTGTAAAAAGAAAATTGAGTATATTCATGAATAAGTGTTATAGAAAATTGAAAATCAATGCTTTTCCAAATCACTATAGGTAATCATAGCTGGGAGATTAGATCAAAATACTAAATAATTGTCAGCCCTGGAGGCCATCTTTCTCTTTGGATCTTCAGGGCTGCCACATTTAGCGCATAGTCCTGCTGTGGGAAACTGGGAGGCGGGTGGCAAGGAGTGGGTAGAGATAGATAGCCATAACAGCATTCTTTTCTCTGGGAGTCAAGGATGTTCAGCCTGCAACTGGAAAGATGTGACTGGGAAACATCTCCAGTTGGGGTGGTGGATTGATTGGACCATGTGATGGACATGTGGGTGCAGGGGAAGGGACTTTGA